AAAACACAGCATCGCGCCAGACACAATGAAGATAATCAATTCTGTCCCAGTGGAAACCAGAACATTCTGCAACTTTACTGTTACACTGCATCTCACACTTATGCAGATACAGTCAATTAAATGAATGTCACTCAAGTGTCTAAATGTCCTCTGATTAAGATACATAGGCTCAGATTTTGCCCAGGAGCAGCTCAATCCTATTGTACTGTAGATCCATTATAGTGGAGAACCTTTATTTATTTTTCTTTTTGTTTGTTTAGTTGGTTTTGTGGTTGTTTTTTTTTTCTTCTCTCTTCCTCCCATCTACTTATACTTCTCTATGCTAAAAAATGCTCTTCTTCTGCTTGTTCCCACCTGAGTATTGCAAATCTCCAAAACTTTCTGCATGGTCTCACAGCTGATTGAAACTATGCTGTTTGTCAGATGAGTGAAATGATTCCAGTCAAAACACATTATTTGGGGGGTGATAACTTAATTGCCTGTTTTATGGCAGAATAGCCTCACAGCGGCGTTGCTCCACACCCGAAGATGCATGAATGTGAGAAAGAATGAGGGGAGAAAGAAGAGAAGATGGGAAGTTTTTTAACAGCTCCTTCACTGAAACCAGCATACTGCAGGCTCTTGACAGCAATGAGCAGTGCTTAAGTGCCTTTCTGGTGCTTAATCCCAAGCAGGGCATTCTCAGAGGAGTATTTTTTAATCTCTCCTCTAGGAGCTTTTTCTCTTTGTGTAAATATTCATTGGCGCACTGACTGAAATGCTGGTTTCCCAGGAGAAGGGAGTACCCACAGGACTGCAGCATCCTTCTCGCTCTGCAGGTTCATGTATTTATTTCTATATTTTAAAAGTGGTAAAATGGCTTCAGAAAGGGAGGCTGGCAGATCCCATTGGCAGAGTATTCTCATGCCCTAGGAAAAGGAGAATGTGGGTGACTGTTTTCATCCACATCAGTGATTTTAAGGTATGGTGTTTATAGCCTAATATGAACGTGTAGCCATCAGGCATTAAATGCTAGTTCCTGTACTTGTTTCTAAATGAAAACAGTGAAGGTTCCTGGTAGTGGATGGTAAATGGGGAAGCATGTTTTATTTCATCAGATTCTTACTAGGGGATAGAACTTGTTCTCCATCCCCAGCATCTCAGCCTTTCCTATGAGTTGGTGTAAGCAGCCCTCTTTCCAGTGCAAACCTCTTGGTGAGTCTCTCTCTCTCTCCACAAAAATAACTCTTTCTCTGGTCTATATTTCTAGCAGGCTGAGTGTCTGGCTGAGGGCTCTGAGCACTCCAAGCAGTAAGGATCTTAAAAACAGTTAAGAAGTTTTCAAAAGGAGCAGAAGAGGAAATGTTACTCTGAGCAGAAGAAATGTACAATGGACAGTAAGGCTAAGAGCACCTATGTCCCACATGGGTGCTCTTTCCTGTAGGCTGTGAATATAGCACTTTTCATCATGTCCTTTTTCCTGCCCATGTTCGCTGGATGGATTTCTGCTTAGATAGGTTTTTTTAGAGCATTGGAACAGTTTTCTCCATCTGTGAGTATAAATACAGTCTTCTGTAGAAGATTTGTGGTGAGAATCAGGCTGCTTTGCAAGGTGAAGATGGAAGCAGAGGATGCAGCCTCTCAGTAACCAAATGGGGAAGCTGGAATGGAGTCACTAATGGTGACTAGTATCAACCACAGCCTGCTGACACTAGCCACGGTTGTAGCAATGGGGTGGTATCAACCTGGGAATCATTAGCATCAGCAAAGTACGTGGTTGGGGTTGGACATACCAACAGCAAATCTCAGGCAAGGATGGAGGGTAACGGTTCTGACTTAAATACAGCTCCTCAGCAAAGGAGGGAGGGCCAAGCTCACATTAGTTTCCAACAAAACATTGGTTTTTTTTCACATTTTTTGCTCTGTTATTAATGATTCTACTATCTCAACATTATCCTCCTCTGTTGCCAGGGTTTCTTCTGTTCCCCTGAAGGTGACTGAAGCTAATCTGTCTGCTTTCCATGGGAACAGAATACGGCTGCCCATATGGATGATTAGGGTGTTCCAGCTGTGTGGGGGGTGTAATCTCCAGCTGTGGGGTGGTAGTAAACAGTTGGGGGTGGTAATTTCTCTAACTGCTCCAGCTACATTCACAGCATATGTCTATGCCCTGAGGACTTCCAGAGAACTAACTGTAGTATTTGCAGTATTTGGAACATTTCTTATTTCAAATGTACAAAATAAAAGAAAATACTGCATATTCTGAGATAAGTTTATCTTACTGTAAGCAAAACTGCCAAATATTTAAGGGCAACAGCTGCGGCTACTTCTGCTTGCAAGCATTTCTATTACCAGCTGGGAAGGGAGAAAGTAAAATACAATGAAACACTATAAAAATTGGTAGCACATTTCCTGAATCTACTCTGCCACTCAAATTTCCTAATCAATCAAGTTTGTTAATAGCGCTGTTAAAATTTACAGCGTGAACTGAGTGCAGTGCAGGTCTGAATAGGCAGAAGTAGAATTCTTCAGAAGGTTTTCCTGAGAGCTGCTGTGTGTTACTACTGAAACTTTCACACTAACGGATTTATTATGAATATTCAGTTTCATGCCTCTACAGACTAATCTTGCAGCACACTCCTTTCTGGATAAATTTTCTCTGAAAAAAAAAAAAAAAAAAAAGTGCGCAGGTATAGAATCAAGTATAACACATATAATAGTCTATCTTTTACAATAATCTTGTGCAGTATCCTATAAAACTAATATATTGCTACCGAGATATAAATAGCAAGTCCTAGTTATTTGCAGAGACCGATGCGGTAGAACAGAGCGCTGCTCTGCACACCTGTGACTGTGCAAGAGTGAGGGCTGCGGAGGATGAAAACAGCAGCATGCAAATGCATAAGGCGCTGGATGGTGGCACTTCTGCCATGATGAGATTGCTTGTGTCATGTAGGGCAACTAGAAGTGCTAAGTGTCTGCAAAATAAGGCCCCTGATTTAGGGTCCTAAATATAGCTTTTGTGACTTGCTTCAGGCTCTTAACTTGGACTATTTTGACTTAACTGCTTGCAGCACCATGGCTGATTGTTTCTGGTGAAATTGTTCAGCCAACTCATATGAGTTCACTCAAAAAAGAGTTGTTACCAAAATTCTGATGGACCCCAACGTCCTATGCATGTGCACTGTGCAGTGGTTTCATTGTCAAGAATTCTCAAGAGAAATCATAGCTATCTTGCCCTCTTCCACTGCCTGAAATTTGTCACACAATTAAAAAACATTGTGGCTGCAGAAAATTCTGGTTCACTTGAACTAGGCAGCAGCTGTGATGGTTTTACATGTTCTGTTGCTGTACGATAAAATGGATTTGTTTATTAGCTTCAGCACGGTAATATTCAAAAGGATTTAACAACTGATGTTTTCAAAATACCATCTTCTGCTGATTCTTTTATTGTTTCAAAATATTTTTGATACGGAACAGTAATAATAATAATAATTCATGTATATGATTCCTTTCAATTCCGAATCTCAGTAATGTGCATTAATAAATTAAGCCTCACGGCAGCTCTGCAATTTACAGGGTTTTTTAATCTGTATTTGACAGATGGAGAAACAAAGGTACTGAGAATTATAGATGCATTTATGAAGGTGTGATTAGGCTGTATAGAAAAGAATATGAATGCAGCATTCAGAGTACTCCAGAATTACAGAGAATTTTCAAGAATAGGAATTAAGGTCTTTGGGAAACACGGTCCTCCCTCCTCAGGGTATGTAGGCAAGTCAGCATGGCACTGCACTGCTCTTTGTGGTGTATTGATTTTACTGTGCTTTCTCCACTGCTGCTCTTTCTGTGCTACAGATCGACATTCTGACACCCAGCTCAGCAGCAGATGAGTATTTCATGACTCCACTACAATCTCGGCCCCACACTTGAATTCATGTAAATGATACTCTTCAATATCATGAATAATCCACACAGCACCAATAACACTGCAAACACCCTACAAAGTAAATGATAATAGCTCACAGGCTTTCTGTCACTAAGTACCGTGATGGCAAGAAAGAGATGCTCCAGACCCAGTTTGGGTGGATACCAGCTCTGGAGGCAAAAGATTTCCTGCTTTGTGCCAAGAAAAATATGCATGCCAGCACGCACATCCGGCAGCACACAAGCACAGCCGAAGACATGCTCATTGCAGACTGGGGATGCCTCCTCTGTGCTAGGTCAGGGCTGCCCTCGCAGCTCTCATGCAAATGGGAAGGGACAGCTCGGACATTGCACAAGTTCCCTGGCTCTGTGAAGATTTGGTATGTTTCCCAGGGGACAGAAATTCTTTTCAGCTTCATGTTTCATATCTTTGTCAGCTCACTGACTCCTGGAAATTATTTAGTAAAGGTGAACACATCAGCATTAGGGTGCCATTAAGTCCTGTGACAGCTTCCTTCTAAAAATCACTTCTCAAGCGCTACAAGGCAAATCAGAAACCAAATAACATCTTTTTAGCTCCAGAGATCCTCTCCTCAACTGTGTACAGATAGAAAGAAAAACATTCCATTTTCATCTTTTGTTCTTTTTCCATGCAGAACTAGGATGCTATTTAAAACCATGAATAGTAGAACATGCGTGCAAAAACAAATGAATACAATGGCTCTTTAGTCTTTGATAAAATATTAATTACCACCCATCAGAGGTAGGCAGAAATGATTGAATCTAACAGCACTTGTCACTTAGTGTTTGTCTTATTCTCAGACTCTGAACTTCTCATTTTAATGTCTCTGTTGAAGCGAATAACCTCAGTACATTAGAAAGAAAAAAATTAGTCCTGCAATTGTTCTGTGCATGACTAAAGGCATCTTTAAAAATCACTGTAAAGTGATTAACGTTTACTTGAATATTCATTTTAGTCTTAAGGGTCCATCAGAATAAGCTGAGGAAAAAATGCTGTAAATAAATTTTCATTCTTGTTTCTACCTTAAGAAAAAGAATAATGCTAAGATCATACTATTTGTGATTTCTGAATGTGTGTAGGACCAATAAACTGAAATGATAGCAGAGACTGTTCATGCTCTTGATGGACTCCAATACCATATGCTTATTTTTGTATTTACTGTTTCGTTTCTTTTATTTTCTGTTAAGTAGCATTTTGTTGGGAAAAGGTGAATTTAAGCCTCAATCCTTGGTCCTGCTGACCAAGACAAGACTGTCTGACAATGAAGGAAACTGACATTCTTATCTTTGCATTGTAAGATGAGCGACACATCTGCATTTCTGCCCATGTTCCTGCTTTGCACTGGATATATGTTTTTATCCAGTGAGTCCGTGATCTGAGTCATCTGGGATTGACTGGCAAAGGTGCATCCTGTAGAAAGGAAAGCAATTCTTCTATTCACTGCCTCGTTACTCAGTCCTGAGGGAGCCGCGCTGTAACTTGCAGAGATCTCCTTTCAGCTGGTAGGGTTTGGGCAGGTGTGTTCCTGCAGCCAGCAAGACATTGCAGCGAACTTCCTCCCCTCCAGCCATAGAATAGCCCTTCCTCCCCTTTTCATTTCCCACATCCCAGGGTTTAAGGAAGGGAACACAAACTGGTACTCTGCCTTTGTGCAGTTCAAGGTCTCCTTGCTCTGAGAAACTAGCTGCTCCTTCAAGGCGCTGTTAAGTGCCCATTGCGCTACTGGAGTTAAAACACATTTAATTCAGGCTGAGGATCTTGCTCATTCAGTGTTTTTATTTTAAAAATATTTAGGCTACTGATCAGCTGGACTGGCTCCTCTTCATTTCCTTATTTAGAAGACCTCTTTGAGTTTCCCTGGTGTGTGGGATGTTTTTCTCCCCTGTATCCATGCTGTGCATAAAAATAAACATGTTAATTATGTCTCAAACAGCCTTATGAGGAATGCAGATAATATGAAAATGAACTCAAACGAAGAGAAACATAGTATTTGTACTCATAATAGTTAAAATATATAGTGCTTTTAAGGCAAGGTATTGCAGTAAATTTCTCCACAGTTAATTAAGAAATAAAGTTTTAGGCTTACTTTACTCCATCCAGAACACCGAGTTTCAGAGTTGTCATTTTCAATTCCTTCTTCCCTCTCCTTTCTGCACCTGTCTGCTTGATGGATGGATAACAACAATCAGCTATCAGCCACCTTCTTCCAGTGCTTTTCCCTGTGCATTCCCTCGTCATTAACATCCCACACTCGAGACCAGACTCTTTTCATTGTTTGCCTTTTTAGTGTTTGAATGAAACAGAATTACAACACTTTCAAGTGAGTTTATGAAAAACGCTTTGGTGTCAGTGAACAGATAAGAAGTTTCTCTGTTCTGCTCTTGACAAGTTGGTCATACCCTATGCCGAGCTTATTGGAAGCAGTGCCTGCTGGTGGGGCAGCATTCTCCTTACACATATCTTAATTGTTTCAGATATCTCAGTACCCTGCACCTTTCAACTCTAGTTGATACTTTACATTTTAATTTGCTTCTTTTCCTGTCTCTCCTAGCAGCTCTTGTACTACAGTGTGTCAGTAGTTGTGTGATAGATTCCCCCTGATAAGCAGCTAAACTCCAGCACGCTGCTCTCTCACTCCCCATCCTCAAAGGAAGAGGGGTAGAAAATATGATGGAAAAGTGCTCAAGGTCAAGATAAGGACAAGGGGATTGCTCACTAATTACTGCCATGGTCAAAACAAACTCAATATGCGGAGAATTATGCAATTTAATGACTACTACTATCAGAACTAGAGTTGCGAGAAGTAAAAGCAAATCAAAAATACCTTTCCCCACCAACTTCCCTCTGCTGCCCCGAACGGTGCTCGGGGGGCTGCTATAAACCCATAATGCTTTGTCTCTGCCTCCTCCACGGTCAGCCTCTGCCCATGCTCTGCGCGGGGTCCCTCCCACGGGACGCAGTCCTTCCGGAACTGATCCTGTTTGGGCTCCCGCAGGCTGCGGTTAGCTCGACACGGCTCCGACGCGGATTCCTACCTCGGGGGCCCAGCCTCCAGGAGCGCACTGCTCCAACACAGCCCTCCCGTCCCACCAAGGCCCACCCCGCCACGGGACCGCTCCTGCGGGGCTTTCCGTGGGCTGCACTCTCTCCGAGCCCCATCCACTGCAGCATTGCGGGCTCCTCCGCACCGCACGTGGAGACGTGTTCGGCGCAGTGCCCGTGGGCTGCGGGGGCACAGCCCGCTCCTCCTTTGGCCGCAGGGACTGCTGCTTCCGGAGCACCTCGCGTGCTCGCAGGGCCTCTTCTCTCCCATTGTTCGCTCCTCTCTCCCAGCTACTGTGGCACAGCGCTTTCCTCATTTTCGGTCTGCTCTGCCGGATCACGCCTGGCTTCGATCACAGCTCAGCTCTGGCAGTGAGGGGTCCCTTGGGAGCAGCGGGAGCTGCTCTGCTCTGCCACGGGCAGTGCTGGACTCTGCTCATCTCTGTGGTGCCCCTGCTAACAAAAAGCTTGCCACATAAAACCAATACAGGGTTGTAAACTACTTTTGTTTGTTTGTTTTCTTGTTTTTAACCTTGAGCCATTGTTGTCCTGCCCTCCAGCTTGCTTTCAGCTTGCTCCTCCTCGTTTTTCTTTAACAGTTTCACTGTTTCCCATTTCCTGACTTATCATACCACCATATTGCCTTACAGTTGAGACCATACCTTGTGTCATTTCTGGCTGTTTCTTTTCTACTCATCCTTAATATCCAAGCTACCTACAAATTCCATCTGAAGCAGTGCTGAAGACCCAATCATTTTTATTTGCTGAGGCAGCTAGAATTTTCCCAAGCTTCTTCAGTTTTCTCTCCAGCTGTGACCTCTTTGGCATCTTTCATTCCATATTATTGCACCCTTTCCCTACCCTTCCTAGCACTTCATTTGAACCACTGATGTTAAAACATAGCTCACTGCTGTCATATTGCCCTTTGAACCTTTGTTCTTCTTTTTGCCATTCTAATCTCTCTCTCTCTTTTTTAATTGCTTTTGATTTTTTTTTTTTAATTTAATTGTTGAGCATTTAAGAAATTGCCAAAGGCTTTTTTTTCCCCTCCCATTTCTTTCACTTTGCTGCCTTTTTTTTTTTTTTTTCTATTTCTTTGTGTACTTTTTTTGTTTCCCAATATTCCTTTAGTTTGCAGAATTCTTCTTTATCTCATCTGTAAAGTATTTAGCCTTCCTCTTCATATTTTTGCATACAAGTGTGAAATACGTAAGGGACAAATTAATGTAAGCTACAGTCCCATCAAAACAGTCATAGAATCATAGAATGGCTTGGGTTGAAAGGGACCTCAAGGATCATCAAGTTCCAACCCTTCTGCCACAAACAGGGCTGCCAGCTTCTAGATGAAGCACTAGACCAGGCTGCCCAGGGCCCCATCCAACCTGACCTTGAACACATCCATGGATGCGGCATCCATAGCCTCACTGGGCACCTGTGCCAGCACTTCACCACTCTCTTAGAAAAATTCTTCCCTCTTATATCTAACCTAAACCTCCCCTTATTTAGATTAAAACCATTCCCTATTGTCCCATCTCCATCTATCTATCTATCTATCTATCTATCTATCTATCTATCTATCTATCTATCAGATATCAACCTTTGAAGAGTAGCCATATCAGTCAGACCCCATCCTTAGACTGTCATTAATCTACAGTTATGGCATACCTAATACCAGCCTTTAGATTCCTTGGGGAAGGGTTCCCAATTTCTATTTTGGTCAAAACGAGATACACCTATGTATGCAAATTCAGGACAATGATTGGACATAAAATGTAGACAACTTATTCTGAGATTCTCTCTAAGCACATCCCCTTATTCTAAAATACTATTTGTTTGGTCCCAAACTCTGTATTTCCTTTAAATACAATACATGAGACCAAATGCAAAACTCTTCCAGTCACCGAGTCCATGCCAGTATTTGACTTGGTATACAGTCCTTTCTCTTTGTTTTTCTGATGGGCGTGGAGTGTCAGGTATTGTGCATTTGAGTGAAGGTACAAGTAAAGAGCCCATTTTCTTCTTAATAATTGTATTACTTTCTAGAACCACAGACCTTTCTGTAACTTCAGCTCATTTTTGAACATAGCAGAGAGAGAGCCTTTCCTCTGCTGTTCTGCAATTTTCATATTCATCACTAACATGCTTAGTACAGGTCTATACAATCACATGGAAAAAGCTTATTTTAAAAGAGAAAAGGCATAGGGAGCAAAATAGGATAGGAAAATAGTGTTCATATGCATGCTTGCACACAACTATAGCTGATTACAGCATCTATTTGCATGAAAGCGATACATTTTTCTAGGAAATACAGTGTGAAAACCTTAGCACTAGAGGTCACTAAACACAGCAATTTCAAAGGGTGTGTAAACTGCTTTTTTTTTTTTTTTTTTTTCCCCCTTCTTTTTAACGGAACACTTCATTTGCATTACTACAGTTACAGCCCTCGGGAGATATCAGTAGGTTAGCAGCTGTCAGCTCCTGTTTATATATGGGGAAGATGGGGACAATGCAGCTGCTCAGCTGCGACCACCCCTCAGATGTGGCAGCCATTGCCTTGCCACTGACTGATAAGTAGCAGGAAGAGATACATCACCTAATTTCACTTTTGTTCCAACGTTGTAATCCAGGCATGATATAAGGAAATTGGGTAGGTGTTCAGACAGGTAGGCGGTTATGCCTTGTGGAAGAGAGTGGCTTGGAAAATTTAGATTCCATTAGAAAAATAAGTGTTAATTCAAAGTCGAAGGAATAGGTGAAATTAAAGAGAAATAGACATTTAAATGCATACTCACAACTTAATAGCAGAAGTATGCATCTTACATGCATCTTAGATGCATCAATATCATCTTAATAGCAGTATCTTCTTCAGAGGTTGTCTGTATTCAATGGGAATTTTTTCACAAGACTTATCAGGACCAAAAGAGCCTGCTAAAGTTCTCAGACATAAAAAAAAATAATAATAAAATAAAAACAAAGAGCTATTGGATATCTGGCTTTGAATCTATTAGAAAAACTAATAGTGTGTGTTGTTAGTATGACTATGTTAAATGTTTTCTCAAAACATTTTCATATCTTTGTGGTGTTATTTCTTCATTTCTTCATTTCTTATAACATGAATTTTCTGTGAGATTATCACAAGAAAATATGTGGAAAAGAGAGGAGCCAGTGAGTTTGGGATCACTCTTGTGGGGATAGAAAGATGGAGGCAAAGAATGTCTTGTTTCCCAAAGAACAAGGTGCCCTGAAAGACCTATACTGGAATTTAGCCATGATATGCCATTCCCCCAGTACTAACAAATATCTGAGAATCTCCCTCAACTGTCTTGCTCTGTCCTATTTCTGGTTCACATCACAGACCATAAACTATCGCTGCTGTCAGATACTCTTTCAGCTGAAGTAGGATGAAGTTGTCTTAGCCAGATGTAAACCCTTGCTGCTTTCAGATTTGTACCATGTGAAAGATTTTTTCTTAATTACAATCTTATATATTTTCATTAAAAAAAGAACCCTTATAGAGATTTTATTAGCATCAAGTTAAACAGTCATTTTGTAGTCCATTTCAGAATTCATTCTACTTTTCTAATGTTAGGTTTGCCTTCTGCACATGCTACAGTCTTTAACTGTATAGTGTCTACGTGTTTTTAATAAAAAGTCCAAGTCTCTGTACAGGAGGAAAGAAATGTGCATTGAAGGATACTATTGTGTATGGACACCAAATCAGTAGACCTTGTTGACCTTAATTTCTCTGCTCTTCAATGCTCTGTAGCCTTGCAGGAGTGTTATGAACACTGGTTAATTAATATTTTTAATTGTTTAGGTACAGTAGTGTTGAGCACCAGAAAGAAACTCATGAGGAAATTAACAATTCTGTCTTGAGAGAAGAGTTTGAATAGTGTGCAGTAAATAAGGCCTCGGGTCACACATTGGAAAACAAGAAGAAAACAAAATATTGAGTAGTTGCTTATTATGAGAACATTCTGTGCACCCAATGAAGCAGAGGTCCCGTAGAAGAGAAAAGTAATCACATAATTAAGTTTTGTCATGATGTTAATGCAAAAAGAGGGCTGGAAGAAAAATACACAGGGAACTTAGATATTTTTTTAACATTTGAAAACTTGTCTCAATACTCTCTTGTGTTGTTTTAAAGTAACGATTTGGATTTTGTTGAACTTCTATGTGTGCATTTGTTTTATGGGTATGTGCAAAAGGAATTTCTCATTTCTTTGGAATGCATGAACTTTTAAGAACTGACATGACAAATCCTGAATGAAAATTTAGTGTTATGTCCAGCATTATTAGGGAGAATTGGAAAAATAAATAATATGATGAAGAACACATTCTGCGTCTCTCAAAATATTTCACACCTGTTTCTTTGAGCTTAAGATCAGCACTTGAAATTTTTAGGGCACAACTGCAAGAAAAAGGATTTTCTTTAAATTATTCTTCCAGTAAGTTTTCTACATCGCTTTGTGGCTGATGGATTGTTCTGAATATACTCTGAAAACTCCAATCTAGAAAGAGCTGCTCCCTGTCAAAGATTATTTTTCAAGTAAACAGTTAGGTGTGATGACATTAAAAAATGTGCACTTCAACAAAAATTAATTTGAAGACAAGCAGATAGAATTCATTTTTTAAGAGACAATAATAGACTTATTATATATAGTCACACCTACATGTGTGATATTAGCTTAATAAATTTCTGCATGCTGCAGGAAATACAGTTTTCATCTAGATGTATGTAAATAGTTACTGGATTCTCTGTTGCTAGCTCTAGAGGAGAGATAATCAGATAATTTCTTTGAAAACACGGCAGAGAAGTGATAAAAAGTTTTTGAGCTTTCTTTTGACAGTAGATGTTTTAAAGACTTGAAAGATGGAGAGTTGTGAAGTGATTGGGCAGAGTCCAGAAAACTTTTACTTGGATTTTAAATTAAAAGTTGGGTACTGCAAAGACGAATTAAGTTTTTGGTTTTTTTTTTCCCTTGAAGAATTATGTCACAAAAAGCAGAAGACTTTGTTATAAAGCAAACATACATGTTCAGTAGTTCTAGGTATCAAAATCTGCTGTGAAATAGAATGGGTCACATCCTAGCTTTCCTATTAATATCTCTTGACTTTTCCTGACTAAGGCTTTTGTACCTGATATAGCTCATTTACCAATATATTTAACACATCTTTACAATAGTTTTTGCCAATGAATAAACTCATAAAAATTATTCAGCAGTCTTTCAATGTCAAATTGTCCTACTAAGATTACCTGTGATTTGGCAATCACCTTAACT